CCCCCCCCCACAGCCAGCCCCCTCTCCACCCCCAGCCGTGCCTCTCACGCCACACACCTGCCCCCTTCCCCCCAATCCACTCATCAGCCCCTATCCAGTCCCCCAGCCCCCACACCAGATCCCTCCCCACCAGCCCCCCATCTCAGCCCCTAGTCACACACTCCAGCCCCCCAGCCCCAGCCCGCCCATAACGCAGGGTCCCCCCACACTAGCCCCCCCCAGCCGCCCTCCCCCCCGCACACCAGCCCTGCGCCCCCTGCTGGCCTCACCCGCAGCTCGTAGCGGAGGCTGTTGTGTTTCATGTGCACCGCGGTGCCGGGCCCCAGGCAGAAGTCCCAGCCGGCGAAGACCTTGTTGCTGTAGGTGCTGAGCGCCCCGTTTTCGCTGACCAGGCTGCGCTTCAGGAGATGGACGGCCCTGAGGGGAGAGCGCAGGGTGACGGCCCCCAGGAGATGGCGAAATGCAGCCAGCTCAGGGGTGGGGCGCGGGCGCTGGGTCTACGGGGACCCCGGCCCGGCACCGGGACGCGGCCCCTCTGGGGCAGGGCGGGGGCTGGGTATCCGGGGACCCCTGGCCCCTCTGGGGCAGGGCAGGGCTGGGGCTGGGTATCCGGGGACCCCTGGCCCCTCTGGGGCAGGGCGGGGCGGGGGCTGGCCCCGTGGGGGTACCTGGGAAGTGACTCACCGGTGGACGATCCAGAGGAGGCAGACGGAGAAGTAGCCCAACATGCTCAGCAGATAGGCCAGGGGGATGTTATAGGAGAAGCCCACGAAATCCACGGCCGAGTTTTGGTAATAACCGTAGAACAGGTAGGTGAGCTCCATGAACCCCTGAGAGAGACACAGCCTAAGCGGGGGGCCGTCACCTCCAGGGGGCACCGGCTCCCATCCAGCCCCAGGGCGGGGACTGGGAATGAGACAAACTGATCTGGGGAATTGGGGCCAGCTCCGATTTGTGGGGGACACATGAACGGGAGCTGAGGGCGTGGGGGGCGGAGCTGAGGCATGGGGGGCTGGGGGCGGAGCTGAGGGCACGGGGGGCTGAGGGCGGAGCTGAGGTGTGGGGGGAGCACTGGGGGCGGAGCTGAGGCGTGGTGGGGGGGTCCCACAGGCCGGGCTCTCACCGTCCCGGAGAGCAGGTCCATGAGGTAGGTGAAGTAGCTGACCAGGCCCCGCTTGGTGGGGTCGTACTGCAGGCAGCTGATCACTGCGGGGGGGGGGGAGAAAAGGGGTGAGACCCCCTCAAACCAAACCTCCAAATACCCCCGGGTCACCCCTGCCCTCCCTGGACATAGGACCCAGGCTGCCATTCTGGGGGCTATTCCCTTCTCTCCCCTCCC